TAGCTGACACTGTGTCTGCATTTGTGATTCATCTTACTATTTATTTTCTGCTTTCCTTTCCTGGGATATAAGTTTCCATATGATTCTTCAGCTCATTGCCCAGCACCTAGTAGGTGTTCAGTGCATCTTTAATAATAAATGAGAGCAGTTTACTAGGAAATATAAGGAAAATCAAAACCTAAGATATATTCCATGAGAAACCAGAGGGTAGACACCAGCCATTTGGTGGAGTCCCTGCAGCTTTGCCCATAGGTGAGGCAAGGGGAAATGATTCTCAAGTCAACTCAGTTTGAGTAACAACCAAGACAGAGGAAATCAATGCTGCCCTCAATCTGCTGGTATTAGTTACTGCCCTTTAGAGACACAGAATCACTGAAATATATGTATTTAGAAAGCAAATTTTTATAAGACATCATCTCATGAGATTATGGAGCCTGGGAACATTTGTGATCTGCTCTTGCAAGAAGGAAAGCTGGTGATGTTCCAATCCAAAGTTAAAACTTGAGAACTAGGGGAGCCAATCTTGTAAATCCTAGTTTGAGTCCTGGAGTGCCCGCATCTAAGGGCAGAGGATGGAGGTCTTAGCTCATGTGGGAGAGCAGGCTGGCCCTTCTTTCACCTTTGTATTCCTCTCAAGCTCTGAACAGACTGAGTGATGTCCACTGCACTGGTGAGGGAGACCTTCTTTACCAGCCTAACAATTCAAACGCTAATCTCCTCCAGAAAATCTCTCACATACACACATAAATAGAATGTTGTACTAGCTGTCTGAGCATCCTTTAGTCAGTGAAGTTGATACATAAAATTAACCACTGCATTGCCTATGTCAGGAGGGAGAAAAGAACCCGGTCATGCAAAATTCACAGGGACACTTCCTGCCTGTCCCTAGGCTTTGCCTCTGCCTAGACCAAAGGAGAGTTTTAGTAAGACTGGTAGGGGTTTAAAATAAATTATCCAAAATAAAAGACAAACCACAATGCAGTTTCTAAGGGAAACATAAATTGAATATTCTACCCCATTAACTTCCTGAAAGGTGAAGGTGAATATTTACTGGAGAGCTCCTTGAATAAGGTAATCTTCAATATAGTAAGGCCCCTGAGGACAAAAAAAAAATCTTTTGAGTGTTCTAGTTGAATGTTCTTATTTGGAGGGATTTGTATTTAATGGATGACAAGGTAATGTGTCATCAGTGTCTTGTGGTTGTGGTAAAGCTGCTAAAAGGAATGACAAATATTTTATGTGTAACTTTCTATTTCACTGATACATTAACTTGTCTATTAAACAGAATTCTTTTTTGGTTTTGTTTTTAATCTTGAAAAGCTTGAAGAATCTTGAAGAATCTGCCAGAGGATGCTGCTTGGCAATAATCAGTGCATCTCCCAGAACTCCTTAAGTGACTTTTTCAGAAAGTTTGTCTTTGCTTTCCAGTGGGCTTTGGCTTTCAGTTTTCCAGGAAGAAAGAGACTTCTCCAGCAGGAAAATCTGTGTTGTGTACTCACTATGTCCACATAGACCAAACTATGTCTAGTTAAAGAAATTGATCGGTCTGAGTGCTCAGAATTTAACACCATAAAGTAATGAATTGCTGTGGCCTGCTTGTTCCCATTAGGTCCCTCTCTCTGCATCCTAATACTGTCTCTCTGCCTGAAAAGAAGAACCCTTTCCCCAGAAATTCATGTGATCTAGCAGAGGGTGTTATTACCTCAAATATAGTTGAAGATTAAAACAGATATTAGTGTGTCCTTATTTTATATTTAAGGCTACTGGAACAGAGAAAATGTAAATCACAAGATAGAAATTCTTAGAGTAAACCAGAGTATCCTGGCTCATTACGGAAAATTTCATCCAACATCTGAAATTAATCTTTAGAGTTTAATGTATCGTGTGACTCTTTCTGGTCTTTAGTTATGCTTCATGCGCAAAGGCATATTTTTGTATTTGTTTGAGTATCTGGGAAATTTATTTTGTTATCAACAAAAAGGTCATTTTTTTGAACCCTGGGCAATAAGTTCCCATTATCCTTAGCTGTTCTTCAGATTCTACACTTGCTCCTGTTTAGATTCACTGTTTTTTAAAAAGAGGATTTAGTAAATATTAACTTGCATTTGGCAATGACTAAAATGTAATGTTATGCCTATTTGTATTCTCACATCTGAACAAAAGAGGAAAAAGAGATGACTAGAAATACACTTGTTCTCTCTCTCTCTCTCTCTCTCTCTCTCTCTCTGTGCATGTATGTTTCACAACTACAGAGAGAAAAGTTCACAAAATATTTTAAAAATTCCTCAACCATTGTACCTACCTACCCCAGTTCTAGCATCTTCAAGCTTCAATATGCTTTTTGCAAATAATTTCTTCTGATATCCCTATGGAATTAGTATAGTGCAGCCTATAGCAAGCTAGGATGAAGGTAATAAACGTATGAGCCACTGGGAGAATAGGAGACTAAGATACTCCCTGCAGGGACTGGGGTGGTTCTCTCATTCAAAATGACCTCTACTGTCCCTCCAGTCTTGAGGCAGCTGGGAAGTGACCATGTGCCAGTTCACCTAATAGATGTATGACCTTGAACAAGTTACTAATATATGTGAGTTTCTATTCTCTCATCTGTAAGATGAAGCAAGTTATACCTTTCTCATTCCACTGGAAGGAATGAAGTTTTATAAAGTAAACTAACATAGAATACAGCACATAGCACAGAACCTAATCTACTGTATGCATCTTCATCCCTTCACCTCTCATCATCCCTCACTCCTCCGCCTTTGCTCAACCAATGACAGCTCTGCAGTTCACCATACTCTCTTTCATGGTGCATTGTCATAATGTACCCAGGTCCAATCCAAAAAAATTCCTAGTTGCCTATGAAGACTCAGTTTAGCTCATTCAGTCAGAACTTTCCACACCATCCTCCCAAGGGCTCCCTCGTTGCTTGACCCCAAGATAGAATGGAGCCTGGGGTCTGTGTTACAGTTTAAGTGGATGGTGGCCGCTGGAGGTGTGCTCGGCATGGTCTGCAGGACTTTACCTTATATTCCAGCATTCTATCCTCCACCACCTTTTCTGTGCATTCCAATACCCTCAGGATGAAATTCCTTTAACCATGTACATGAAATCTAGACAAGGAGTTCCTTGAGACAAGTCAATGGACTCTGATGCTCTTTTCCCATACCCCACACAAAATAGCCACTCAATAAATTTTTGATTAATTGGTTGATTGACAGATAGGTAAGTTAATAAATGGATAAATAAATTCAGGAGTTAGCCAGAGGCCTGACTATGGAAATAAAGATAGTAACTTGATTCTGTAAGTACAGGAAAGGAATGAAAAAAAGGAGATAAAAGTCTGAAGTAGAGCAATCCTCCATTTATTAATGTTTCTGAAGATGACCTAGCAGGAGTGTGCTTCAGGTGAGACTGATTCAGAGTCCCCTGACTACTACCAGTAGGTGGCTCACAATTTAGTAGCAAAATTACCAGAGGACAAAAGCAGTCAGATGGTAAAAGTAGGCTGACAAGAATTAGACACACAGTGAAAACAACACTAGAAAAGAAAGTTGATTTCTTACTACCATTTTGATCACTCACAACTCCTTGAAATTTAGATAGAGTCACCTAGTGTTCCTAGGTTGAGAAGCACTTTTCTAAAATCCTCTGCTTCTGTCACTTCCTTTTACTTACAGTTTAAAGTTTCAAAGCATCCTTCTTTGTCTTGTCATTTTTTATCAGGCTTAGTGCACTTTAGAGCAGAAATTTCCTCCAGGAGGACAAGAATACTGAGTCCTCTATTTAGAAAGTACTTACTATGGGCTGGATGCAGGGCCAAACTATGCCTACAGCCATGTTGCTTGAAGCCACTCTCATATTCCGTTACAACCATAAGCACACTAGTGCCAATCTCATGGATTACACATCCACCACTAGCTTTCAGATTAGAGTAGTATGTATTTTGTCTCTGCTACTTTTTACTCATCATATCTTTTCATTTTATTATGACTATAGTGCTTAGAAACATGATTCCCAACCTCTAATCCCAGCTTAATTCTGTCAACACAGTATGTACATTTAAGCATGCAGCTTTCTTTAAAACAGACTTTGCTGAAATCGCTATCATCTCCTACTTCTGCCTTTCTAGACTACTACTTTCTGCTGCAATTAAGAAGAAAACACAATTATTCCCATGAATGAACTTTATGATCTGAGGTAGATATCTGTCTATTAATTAGTGTATGTTTACAGTACATGATCACCACATTTGTCACAGGGAGTTGGTACATGTACATTACACATTTGCAACACCACTTAGACCAACTCCAGGATAAATACTGCCAGAAATTTGAAAAGGCGCTTGTGTGATGGTTTGCAGGCATTGGGGGTAAGGACAGCCTCTGCATAAAGCTTCATACAAAGTAGAATTATGACATAAGAGCTCTAGGAGCCAAAGTAAGGAAAAAGCAAAGAGCAGTGGGGAATCCTTCTAAGTGTAAGCCGAGAGAGACACAGAGATTTTCCTGTGGTGATCGATGCAATCTCAAATATAGAGCTAGAGAAAGCAAAGAGATGCTGAGAATAGATTCCTTCATCAGAGTCAAGCAAACAAAAACTCAAATTTGGAAAGATAGATAAAAGATCTGAGACCACGTGAGACTTTCTTGTTTGAAAGAAGATATCAGTGCCAGGAAAATACTTGACCGGAATGATATCCTCTTGTGAAGAGAATGCTTTTTGAAAAATTAATAATGCTTCCTTATTTCACATTCATCTAGAGTTTATAGACAATATATTTACTGGAGAGACATATACCATATACATAGACAACTTCTGCGAGGGAGTGAGGAAGAGGGGAGGTGGTGATGTCAGGACGTTCTCGGGATTTATGGAAATGAATGGCCATGTTTATGTTAGCCATCACGAGTAATTCTTATATCCCTGTTATGTTTATTTGAGGATGTAAAAATGACTAAATAAATCTGAACAAAAATTGTACTTTATTGATTTTGCAGAGTTAAGAGGAAGATTTATGAGGCATGGAGCCTTCTGTCAGGAACGGAAGAAACTAGAGCGAATGCAGAGATGCCAAACTGCCACTAAGGCCCGTGGACAGTCTCAGCTCAGACTTCTCTGTACAACATTAAGATTGATTAGTAATATGCCGCTTTTGCAAAATGAAAAGAAACTAGTGCCAAGAAGGCATATTCTTCAATATCTGGAGTAGACCTGCTCTCAAGACAATGGCTTCAAAGGTCTCCTGCCTGTATGTGTTGACAGTTGTGTGCTGGGCCAGTGCTCTCTGGTATCTGAGTATAACTCGTCCCACTTCTTCATACACTGGCTCCAAGCCATTCAGTCACCTAACAGTTGCTAGGAAAAACTTCACCTTTGGCAACATAAGAACTCGACCTATCAACCCACATTCGTTTGAATTTCTTATAAATGAGCCCAACAAATGTGAGAAAAACATTCCTTTCCTTGTAATCCTCATCAGCACCACCCACAAGGAATTCGATGCCCGCCAGGCTATCCGGGAGACATGGGGGGATGAGAACAATTTTAAAGGGATCAAGATAGCCACCCTCTTCCTCCTGGGCAAAAACGCAGATCCTGTTCTCAATCAGATGGTTGAGCAGGAGAGCCAGATCTTCCATGACATCATTGTGGAGGACTTCATTGACTCCTACCACAACCTCACCCTCAAAACATTAATGGGAATGAGATGGGTTGCCACTTTTTGTTCAAAAGCCAAGTATGTCATGAAAACAGACAGTGACATTTTTGTAAACATGGACAACCTTATTTATAAACTCCTGAAACCCTCCACCAAGCCAAGAAGAAGGTATTTTACAGGCTATGTCATCAATGGGGGGCCAATCCGGGATGTTCGCAGTAAGTGGTACATGCCCAGGGATTTGTACCCCGACAGCAACTACCCACCCTTCTGTTCAGGGACTGGTTACATCTTCTCAGCAGATGTGGCTGAGCTCATTTATAAGACCTCACTCCATACAAGGCTGCTTCACCTAGAGGATGTGTATGTGGGATTGTGTCTTCGAAAGCTAGGCATCCATCCTTTCCAGAACAGTGGCTTCAATCACTGGAAAATGGCCTACAGTTTGTGTAGGTATCGCCGCGTTATCACTGTGCACCAGATCTCTCCAGAAGAAATGCACAGGATCTGGAACGACATGTCCAGCAAGAAGCATCTCAGATGTTAGAATTTTTACCAATGTAAATATGTTTCTTTTCTTTTTTAAGAAATGGGGCCTAAGGCGTTGGTATTTTACAGGCGTCACCAGGGGTAATGAACTAAGGAAGGGGTTTTGTAAAACTTTTGCTTTCTTCTCCTAGTTTCTTTCTTGGATTATCAGTTTACAAAAGCCAGGCTGTGGTCATAGAAACAACAGTGATTTAGAAGGGCCAGATTTCATTCTCAGCTCCTAAGACATTGCCATTTATCTCAAAAAGGGACTTCCAGAAAACTCCTAGGACTTATGCACTGTGCATCTGAGATAAAAATCTGGTTCTGGGAAACTGAAACTCACAGTAATGTCTTCATATCATCTCTACAAAAATAAATAAGCAAACAACTTTTTCAGAAACAATTCAGAAATGATGCACAGTCAGAAAGACACACTGGATGTGATTATTAATACTGTATGTGCTATTGCTATGCTCAATTTTTACATATATTGCCATGTAATCTGTATAGTACTTATAGTTCCAATGAGAATTGAACTTAGTACTGGCAGGGAGGCTGCAGAGAACTAGATGGGAATTTCAACTTGAGAATCAAATATTCTGTGCATTTGAAAGACAACTCTGCTTGCTCATCCAAGGATTAAACCTGGTCAGTAGGTGGAGTGTATATAAAATGCTACTTACGGTAAACAAAATTTTTTCTTTGCTCTTTCAAAACAAACATTACACTACATGGTGCCTCCAAGGAGATTTTGCCAAATGTAATAATCTTACCTGCTTCCTTTCACATAATGTTTTTATGTGCATTTCACCATTTCTGGATCAGGCAGGCACATGTCTCCATAGATAGACAAGTTGACAGAAGGCCAGAAAATAAGTCATTCAAGAGAATAAAAAGTTATATATACATATATTATAATTAACATAAGCTTAGCAATAGTATAATGTGTCCCTCTCACACATTTGCAAAGCATGTGAGAAAATTGTTAATGGGTATCAATATTTTCTGAAAGGTTTGGTCCTCCTATTGATAGATGGAATATTGTTTAGCCTCTGAAACACCCAAGCACCTTCAGGAGCATAGCTGTTGGAGAGATTTGGGGTGACTGTCACTCAAGTTCCTGGGAAGGAAGGGTGAGGAAGCTTGGAATCAGATCCTACTGAGGCCACCAAACTTATCGGACCATGTGAGCAGGCCACTCAAACCTAATGTATTTCAATATGCTCATTTGTAAAGTGGCTGTAAAAAAAACCAAAAACACCTACCTCACAAGTGCTGTGAGAGCAAATCGCATTTGCTAAGTATTTTGAGATCCTTAATATATAAGGTGCTACATAAGGCAATGCATCATGCATTATGCTAAATGCTAAAATGATTATGATAATTACATTGATGGTCATGAGTAGTAATGAAATCCTCTTAACGTAAAATATACCAAAATAAAGCTCAACTATGAACTATCAGTATACCTAATTCTACCAAGATACTGACTTCTCCTTGGGTATAAGTTAGTTGTTTGGGGAACTTCCATTTCTCTGTCATTTTTTCTGTGCTCAGTGAGTAAGTTATTACTTCTGTGTGTTGCCTTGATATTCCAAGGTGCTGAAAGAAGTCAGCTGCCTTTCTTTGGGGAAGAACTTAGTAAAATGCATTGAAGATGACTGATATCTCAGGGACCATTTGACCTGAATCCTCTTTAAGAACTTTGAGGACAGGTAGAGTGAGTCCATCTCTATCAGAAGAAGTCTAGGCACTCAGAACATTAGCACACTGCATACCCACCATGCTTTAAAAAATTCCTAGTTCCCATTCAGTGAAATCTGCACAGCTGAAAAAGTACACTTAGTTACTGCTTTTTAACGTAAGCTTTGGAAGCCTCCACAGAAGCTGATACCAAAAAGGTAGACAAATGGATGTTGTGGCCTATTTCTTGAAAATACTGGATGTCTCATTCCTAGTCCAAAGTAGCCAATGTGAGACAAGACTTCCCGTCCCTTAATACATCTTCATCTTGTGGTCAGCAGGACTGATGATTTTGACGACAAAGCACTGTTAGGTAGCCAGGGGAGAGATGGCACAGCATAAGGCAAAGCCACACCCCAACCCCACCCTGTAACTTTTCAACTGCTGTGAGTTCCAGTTGCCGGAAAGACTCACAACTGCATAAATGGTTTACCTCCCCCCCCCGGGCAGCTGAATCAAGTCTCTGTCTCATACTACTGCCTTGCATCTACTCTGTGCTCAGTCAAGCCCCTTGTATTGTCAAGGAACTGCACACTGTAAACATCATGTATGTACATCCATGAATTGTTTTGTACGTGTCAAAACGGAGTCTGAATAGACCCCTGACACTGAAACGGAGCAAAAATCAGAAATTCGTGTCTTAAAAAACTTTTTCTTAACTTTTTTTATGCTAAGCCGTGCCCATGTGACAAATATGTAAATATTCATGGAAGGCCAGTGTATATATTTTAAAGTTGTTTTTTCCTTCTCCCCAGTTGTATGTACAGTTAGAATTTGCTTGCTGTGTAATATTTTCTTCTGCATGGAACTTGGTAAGGCAAGGTCATCTGTCCACTATTTCAATAGCCTTAAGCATGTTTACTCTTTATTTTATGAATGTTCAAACGACTGTTTAAGTGATCAAGTAAATGTTTTAACTTGCTACTTTTGTTAATTTTATATCATGCAGCTGACCAAATTATTGATGCAATTATTCGTTAAGCCATTATTATCATCTTTGACATAAAATAATGTTTCATTATAAATGGCAGTATTCTGGAGCTGGGAATGTAGCTCAGTGGTAGAGTGCTTGTCTAGCATGTGCAAGGCCCTGGGATCCATCCCCAACACTGCAAAAAGATAAGAATAAAAATTAAAACTCAGTGCTCTACAGGATCATTCAGATGATTTTCACAGAAACTCTGTGACTTCTCCCCCAGTTGTGTTCATTATGCATTGGATAACAATGCCAATTAATGATCAGTGTTTTGTATTCTTAATGTTTCATTTTAAATTTATTTTTAGTAAGAAAAAAAATAATTTTATCTCTGGTGGCCAGTAGATGTGGCTTTGTGTCTTCTTATATTGGAACAGTTTCAATATACCATAGGGTACTTTTAAATAACAAGAATCAAAATGAAGACGATTTTCAATTTGAACTAAATTCAGAAGAACAAGCCCCTTAGGTTATATGGGGGAAACAAACTTTACAGAGAAACTGAAGAAGGAATTTTTCAATCAAATTTCTTCTGCCAAAAGATAGTGGATATTTATGTACAGTGTCTGGGATTCGTTTTCTACTTTTCCTATATGTGGGTTCACTGGGGGAATTGATTATGTCATTTCTTCTGTAAAGCTGAAGATAGTTTTTATAAGCAACAAAGTGACTTGTGAATGAAAGATGTAATTTACTAGAAACGCTTGTTGATCATTGACATTTAGTAATATCATTATATATGAATGATTGTATTTATGTATTTATTTGTTCAAAGTTGTACATACCGTTTTGCCAAAAGTAATTGTCTGTAAAAGTGCACTCTCCGGGTTTGTAGTACCACTTAGGGTTACTTGGGTTGCCAATCAAGCTGCTAATCAGAATACTATTTTTTGTATCAATGTTTAAAACTAAAAATGACAAATAGATGCTGATTACATTCAGTTTCTTCACTTTCCTCTTGAAATGTAAACTGTTGATTGAAAGCACGATAAAAATGTACAGGCCCATCTGTCATGATGAAGATTATGGTTCCATAAAGCTGATTTTTTAAACCACTGGGACAAATAAACAGACGAACATAATTGATTGTGCTGGGTTTTTTTTAATGAATCTCTTTGGGGAGATGGGACTATTAAAATTAGTCAATGCCGGACAATTATCAGAATCTTCTCTATGACTTCATCGTAAGTAGTGGATCAAACCTTTCAGAGTTTATTCCCAAGAATCCAGAACAACTCTACTGTCAACATGGAGACTGTTTAGTCCAGTAAGCAGACGATGGGTTTCTTCTGGAATTAGGAAACTGGTTATTCATTTGGCCTTTCTCTGCCCGAAGGAAGTGTTTTAACTAGCCTCTGCATTAAATTGCATAGGAGAAACTCGCTAACAAATTCTAACCCCAGGGAGACATCATGTTAATAATATGATTGGTGAATTAGGGCATGTTAAATCGAAGGCAAAAATGTCATTCCTGTGTTTCACCCACACATGTGGGTGAATTTGAAATATTACATATAAGTTTTAAATGAATTGGGAAAGAGTAGTTTAGGGCTTCTTTATCCCATACCAGTAGATGCTAGCTGCAAACGCCTAACTGTAAGCAAGACACTAAACACACTTCAGAGACAAAAAGGGGACTTATTACCTGTCGATCTAGCTAAGCAGTTCTTCATTTGTTAATGGAAATTTAACTTTGGAATTACTCCTTCTCTACTTTGGAGTTCAGAAGGTAAAGTCTATCAGGTGAGCTGAAATACGTGAGTGAACAGTAAAATCACAAAACATACATATCACTATTCTATTTAAAAGACTGACATCAAGAGCAATGGTCTAAGAGTCTGTTTCCGGAACCGATGACATCACCTTTACCCAGGAACTTGTTAAAAATACAAATTATTAGACCCCAACACAATCTGGAGGGAGGGTGTAGCTCGGCATTGTTTAAACAAATGCTGTAAGTGATTTCCATAAAAGCTGACGTTGAGACTCAGCTAGAGCAGAGACTGCGAAACTAGAATGTGAACTACAGCCACCTGCTGCCCACTAGCCAAGGACAGTTTTATCATAAATACAGAGTGGACCCTAACACTGAACTTCTACTGAGTGAACTATTAGACCAATAATAATTCCATTCTTCTTTTTAGTAGCTATATATTACAAGAAAAAATGTACTCAATTACTCTTGCATTATATTTTAAATTCCATCAATATAAAAACCATAGAAATTATATTTCTCTATCATTATTTATGTACTTTCATATATCAAAAATTTTGTCTCTTGGCCTGCAAAACTTCAATTGTTTATTATGATATATATATATATTTTATATTACAATCTAGAGAAATGGGGAAACATCTGAAAAAGGTGTTAACATCTAGAAATTTTCCAACTCTGAGTGAGAATTCTCATCAATAAAGCTTGCTGGAATCATCTCTTCTTGCAGCTAGGGAAATGACAATGCTGTCCTGATAATGAATTACATGAAAAACAAGCAGCTGCATATATTTTAAAATATTTCCCTTTTCCCTCTCAGGGTGATTTTTAAAAATTGCAAAAGCTTGAATCTAATTGTAACAATTACCCATGGTTTAATTAATATATTGCTTAAAGATGGATGGGTATCAGACCTAAGAGGGTGGGTTTCATATAGCTTGATTATCATAATTACAAGCATTCTATTTTCTCATTTACTTAATTGATCGTCATAGATTTCCAGATGAATTCACACTACTGGAAGAGAATTGAATACATTTCTAAGAGGAAAAAAAAATAACAGAAAAAGGACTATTTAGAAAAGTAATGTGTCCCGGAATATAATCCATGTAAGCATGAAAAATTGCCTTTGATAATATCTCCGTACCTCTTTGCTGGTTAAAATGGGCATTTCTGTGAAATGAAAAAGAAATGAATGAAAAAGTATTATTGATTCAACCATATCTGTAATAACACGCGCTCTACTGTCTCTTCAGCTGAAGTTGCCCAGTGCTCAAGAAAAATTTTCCATTTAGTTTTTCTTATAGGATCTATTAGTTTGGTACATTATGTTGACTATTTGTTATGCCTCCTGCAATGACCTCAGTCCTCACCTGGAGGGAGCATACCATAAGAGGTGATTTATTCTCTCCGTGAGGTTTATTCCAGAGCATTTACTCAGCAGTGGCTGCCTGATAGAGCAGGCTGGGCAGAGTTATGTACAGGAAGAGGTGGTGTGAAGAAGACTATTTTTCAACAAAGGCAAGGATGACCTCAGCAAGCAGGAGATGAGGGGAAAAACACTAAAGAATTTCTCCTGCACACAGGCTTAAATCTTCAATACAGTCCTCTGTGTTGTTTAATCCTAATAATAGCCCCCAATGATAGATTAGCAAAGAGGGTACAAAGAATTTAGTAATTTATAGAATAAATTCACATCTTCTGGCTCTAAAGTCCATGTTTTTAACCAATTCAATATGTTGCCTTTCAAAAATAAGAAACATACTCCACCCCCACTATATTGCCCAACCCCAATTTCCATGGAACTCACTGTCACTGTTTTAATTTGGTTTTTCAGACTGAAACTTTTACTGCTATTTTAAAACTTGAGTTATCATTTACACACTTCAAAATTTATCTATTTAAAATGTACAGTTCTGGGTTTTGACAAATGTATACATATGAGTAACCACCACCATGATCAAGATATAGAGTTCTACCACACCCCAAATTTTTTCATACTTCTTCATAATCAGCCCCTGACTCCAGCCTCTTGCAATTACTAATCTCTTTCCAAACTTCTACTTTACATGAGATTTATATGTTACACAGCACTCATCATATATAAAGTTTAATGAAAAGGAAAATATTCCACAGATAATGTATTGTAACACTTCTGTGTCAAAAAAGAAATATTGGAAAGGAACAGAATGGAAAATAAACTATCAGTGTCTAGTGAGTAATAATAAGGTATAAGTCAAAAATTTATAATCCCACTCTCTCAGTTTGGCCTAGCGTATTAGGAACTATAATGAAGCTTCTGTCCTTTACAACTCACATATACATTTTGGCAGAGATAACAACCTATAAGTTCAATTCTATTTGTTTCCTGTTGGAAGCCAAGAATCCTCCAGAGAGGCATCCATCACCAGGTAGGTCATGAAAATGGCAAGCACTGCCTGTACTCTGAATTTGTCAACACACCTGTGTCAAACCACCCTTAGGTGAGTTCTTTTGCACTGCTCATGTGTCTTTTGGTTTCTTTGAATATGCTAATTCACATTTCCATTAGGAATAGACAACGTTACAGCTACATGATTCCCAGAAAATGTCATTGACAGAGGATCGGAGTTAACTTAGAAAGTATGCTATTCACAAGATGTCCCTCTATCCTACAGGGAGGTCAAGCCATAAGTAGCTCAGTATAAAAGAAAAAAATATGATACTGAGGAGGGAGACAAGATGAGGGACTTACACAATCTGCAGCACACTTGCCAGGTTGCCATGTGCCTTGTAATTAGCTGAGAGTTTTGTTAAAACACTGAGTTCTGGGGTACAACCTGAAGTTCTGATTTTTCCATCCAGATGACACTGATGCTGCTGGTATGTGGACAGGCCTTGGAGTAACAAGGCTCTAGTATTCAAGGCTAGATTCTAGTTGAGGATTCCAGTATTTGTGAAGCATCTATTTGGGATCACGCCAAAGGCCTTTGCATACATTTCCTCTTTATTCCCAAAAACCTGTAAGAAAGAATTAAGAAGTAATCTAAAGCTTGAATCTCCAGTATAGTTTTAGGTTAGAAATTTGGTTTTTTGTTTGTTTAAATTTCTTGTACATAGATTTCTCCAAGACCTTGTAGGACAAGACTGAAGTCCTAAAAGAAAGTAACACATTCAAAGAACAAAATCAACAGAAAGCAAAATATTATACTACAATTTTGTTGATCCAGTGCCCAATAACCCAATGCAAGATTGATTCTATGTTGCACACAAGTTAGAGTTCATCACCTGGAAGCGAGTCAAAGTCAGGCCTGACGGCTTCATCTGCCTACCAACAACCAAACACTAAAACCAAAGAATGGCGCACTGTGTACTGTAGAGGAGATAGCAAGGAGAGGCACGCAAGACCAGGGCACAGGGCTTTTGGTCCTAGACCACAGAGACAAAAGGGAGCAGGAAGTATAGAAAAAGCACACAAGTATGCATATGCAGTCTGTCAACACTTGCAAGGTACAATAGAAGGATACAGTGAAAAGACGGGTTGCCATTAACTCCCTTCAAAATATTATCCTCATTATGGACATGCTTATCTCATCACTCTTGTCACCTTCTGAAGCAGTCTAGAAAGGCTCTTTGATGAGCAGCTTTAGCTGCCCTGTTGCAGCCATCTTGATGGCCTGAGTCAATTTACTTTTCATGGCCATTTTGACTTTGGAGAAGTCAGAAATTGCATGGTGAATAAGGTGGATGAGGCTACTCCGTAAAGTTTTTACTAAGCCTGATTTTCTATTGAATGACACTCGGCAACAGTATTTGCCATATTTTTAATCATTCCTGTAAAGACACGAAAGAGGATTTCAGCACTGCTTCAGAAGGCAGCAGGAATGACAAGCTAGAACAATGAATGATGTGTTCAAAGTGAGCGGGGGATGCTTTGAAGTAGCCTGATAGTAATGTGTCTTTCAGTGTAATTTTTAAACATGCTTCATATATTTTGATTATACCTCACAGTCACTCCTACATATGCCACATAAAGTGATCAGATCATTGTCATAGAACATGACCATTTGGGAGCCAGGGATTTAGCTCAGTGGCATAACTGCCTGCCTGGCAAGCACAAGGTCGAGAATTCAATCCCCAGTACCAAAAAAAAAAAAAAAAAAAAAAAAAAAAAAAAAAAGACCATTTAATCTGATTACTTGGGTGAAACAATGATTAGGGTGCAGGAAAGGAAGCTTGTTTCTGGGCATAAACAAGCAAAGCAAAAATTAAGTGGTCCCAACCCAAAACAACAAATCCAGCATTTTATTATTTTCATCATCTGGGGGCTGAGGAATTCAGCAGGTCAAGTCCCAGAAAGTTAGCTGCCTTCCAATGTAAAAAACCAAT